CCTTTTTTAGCTAAAAAGCTAATTAGTTACTATAACCTATTCTCAAACCAAACCTTAATTATGATGCAAAAATTATTTAGTTATACTTCATGTTCATAACATTTAGTTATATTATTTATGATACTCAAATTCATAAATAATATAACTTGTGTATGGTACACACCCGTTTCATATCCTTATATTGCCAATAAAAAAAATGTGCCTCGTGCCACGGACAATGAAGTGATGCCACGTGTTCTAGTTTGTGAGACACTTAATTTAAATCTTTTAAAAAATTATTTTTAAATAAGTATTTATTTATTTTTAGTAAACATTTTTTTTTATATTTTAATCAATTTATTTTTAGTTTTTAAAAAGTAAAAAAATTAACTGAAATGTGAAAACGTATTTACTAAAAGCAAATACAAATTTGAACAAAATATGTACGCATTTTTGTTTAGATTTTCGTTTGTTTTTTAGTGAACTTTTTACATATTTTAGTTTTTAGGTTTTTTTTTTTTTAAAAAAAAAAAAAAAAAAAAAAAAAAAAAAAAAACTTTTTAGATGAATCTAATTTTGATATATTTAAAAATTTTAAAAAAAAGTTATTTATATCAAAACTTCATTAATTATTAGTGAATATCACTTTACTTATTTCATTTATGAATCCATACATTTTGACTCATTTATTTATGACTCTATTTCTCGAATCTCAAACTAGATCGGTTTGGTTGTATGTAAATTTATATATTTTTATGATAAAGTTACACATTAAATGTGTAGTATTATCACAAAAATACATAAATTTAATTATGAAATATAAATTGTTGTAACTCTATCAAAAAATTATATAATATTTACTAAAAAACGCATAATATATACATGGTTGGATTAATATTAAGGTTTAGACATTATTATTATTATTTTTTTCCTTTTCCTTTCAAACCAATTGAAATGATTGAAATTTTTCTATTTGAAATCGTGTTAGATCTAATTCCTATTACTTTCGTTGAATTATTCGTAACTACATATTTACAAAATACAGAACTGGTGATCAACCAATACTTCTAGATTCAGGGATACAAGAATAGAGGGACGCCTTTTTGCTACTCAAACCGCAACAGGAAATAATATTCATACAGTAGTGGATCAAGATATACAAGCTGTATATGGTTACGTACCTGGTATGCATGTAAGATTTGATTTCTTTTAAGTTGGTTATCTCAATTTGACAGAGTATTTAAGTTTGATAAACCCATTTTGAGGTGATACAAATTATTTACTTTTTAGGACTCGTTGGGGTAGAATATTCTTGCAAAAAATCAAGATGATCGAACATCAATAGCTATTCTTGAATCAAATTTGTATTACATAAAATAAATGTCTATTCTTGAAAGAGCAAATTACACTAACAATCCCTGCAGTTTAGGTGTTGTATTACTTTGATCCATGACTCTTCAATTGTGATACATTTGAACCTAAATTTTAAATTTTGTTCTAAATAAGGACAATTAAAGATGTTTCTTTTGTAAACTGTCCATTTCAAGGGTAAAGTCGTCATACAACTTATTTTATATTTGTTAATTTTTATATTGTTTAAAATGTAATGATATTTTTTTTTAATGAATAATGCTGACACTTTCTTAGTTATAAAATTATGTTTTGTTTGATTTTCAAAATCTATTTTTAGAAAGAAAAAAGAAAAAAAATTAAAATAAATAAATAAATAAATCTAAGAAACTAAAAATTAATGGAAAATTCACCTATAAATCTCATCTTGAGGAATAGTTATCCATTTAGTCCCAATAAGTTTCTTATAAATCAATTAATCCTATTGATTTTGGAAAAGTAGATTTAATATTTTATTTCACAATTGAATTTACGGTTATACCCTTAAATCTAATTATGTTTCCTTTTTTTTTTTTTTCCTTTATTTTTTGGCTAGAAAGGTAAAATACACAACCTATGGGAATCAAATTTGGGATGAAATTTTATATGGGAATCTTTTTTATTTGAAATGATTGGAAATGTGAGATTTTTCAAACATTTTAAAATGAGTACAAAAATGACTTGAAATATGAGATTTTTCAAAATGATGGGAGATTCTTCGAATATTTCAAAAGGGTACAAAAACTCTTTAGTAAGTTTTGAACAATTGTATAATTTCAAATTATAACACTCCAATATAACACTTACACTAATGTAACACTCTAAAAAAATTCCTTAAGGGTGGCTTGGCATCTCCGAAATAATCAATCTTTTTATCTTTTTATCTTTTTTCTATCACATCACCTCTCTACTTTTCTGCACATCTTTTCGTAAAAAGACAAAAAGTGCACTTATTTAGATCATCCCAAACAACTCCTTAGTATAACACTATAATGTAACACACAAAAAAAAAAATGTGAGATTCTTCAAACTATTCTAAAAGGAGTATAAAAATTCCTTAGTAAGCTTTGGACAAATGTATAATTTTAAACTGTGAGTGTTATGTTTGGAAAAAGTACGCTAAAGAATTCTTTAGTGTTTTTGTATGTGTTAAATTGGAGTGTTACGTTTGAGATTACAATGATTGAAGTGTTCTATTTAGGAAAAGTACACTAAATTTTTTTTTTTGTGTGTTACATTAAAGTATTACGTTTAGAAAAGTACAATAAGATTTTTTATTTTATTTTTTATTTTTTTAGTGTTACGTTATTATGTCTAGAAAAAATATGCTAAAGAGTTTTTTTGTGTATTATATTGGAGTATTACGTTAATGTTCGTAACGTATGATTTATTCCAAAAAAAGGGAAAATCCAAAACTTCTATAGTGTGAATTGCCCAAATGTGTAATTTCACAATTAGAAAACAATTTTTATCCATTAAAAATTAAATCTAAACGTGTAAGTGACTACCCTTTTATATAATTTCTATTTTAATGAGACTTTTGGGTAAAAAAAATATAAAAAATAAAAAAAATAAAAAAAGAAGAAGAAGAAGAAGAAGAAAAGAGGACTAAACAGTTCATAAGATCACATTTTGAAATTTATTGGTGTTTCATTCAAAATGGAATTGGTAAACAAAATTAAAAACACATCATTTTTATAATATTATCTTTTGGGAGGGTAGAAACAATTTTTTTTGAATTTGTTTTATATTTTTTTTGTTAAATTAATTTCTATTTTTTCAAAAATCAAATATTGCGATAACATTGATGTCATTATAAAACTAACCCATTAAATCAAAAAAATCTAAAACTAAAAATATTTCATATGTGATAACCATAAAAAAAAAAAACATCTATTAACAACAAAAAGAACTATCTATTACATGATAACCATCCAAAAATATCAACAAACATAACCACCCATTACATAATCATCATCTAAATACATACTAAAAATTAATTTGGTAAAAAAATAAAATATAAAATTTGGTAAAAAATAAAATATAAAAATATTTATCATTTTTATATATTTTTTATCTTTTGAGAGGGTAGAAATAATTTTTAAAAATTCAAAAAAAAAAATTTTTGACATTTATTTTTATCAAATTAGTTTATATTTTATTCAATTGATAACTTTGTCCTTAAAATGGAACATTTTCCATTTGCAAAAGAAACGGTGCCTTCAATTATTCTTCTTTGGAACGAAATTCAAAATTTGAAGTCAAATTTATCACAATTGAAAGGTCAAGAACCAAAGTGACACAAATCTCAAATTCGCACTTCTTGAAATTATATTTGTCATCAATATTTTTAAAGAAAATATGATATAAACATATAACTATCAATGTTCAATCATCTTGATTTTTTGAATGAATATATTACTCAACAAGTCCTAAAAAATAAATAATTCAGATTATCGAAATCAATTTCAAGTAGACTTTTTAAGTTTAAACACTCTCTCAAATTGAGACAGTAATTAGAAAGAAGCCACACGCATGTATCAAAAGAATTTCCAAATAACAAATACTGACGTAATGAACGTCCACAATCATAATGAGTTATAATTATATGATTTTTAAATCATAATTTAAGACCACAAAGGTCACAACCAAGCATACGAGTGTATTTTATAGAATGGTAAATTAGGCTCATTAATTCCTATAGTTCAAATGAAGTGTTATTTTAATTTGAATAATTTGAACTCTACACTTTCAATTTTATTTTAATGTGATCCCTCTATCACTTACCATTAAACTTTGGACTATTGGAAGATCATATACAAAACTAGAAGGATCAAATTGAAATTCACAATACATAAAGATGGTGTAATGAATATATTACACTTGTGTTCCCTATATGTTGTTTTGGATTCTATTTTGGTCCCTCCATTTTTGCACTTGATTTTTTATTTTGTTATTTTTTTCATTTAAAATGTTAACAATTCAAGAGGGACCATAGTGTTACAAAATTAAAAGTGTAACTATCAAATTGTTCAAATTAAAAACTATGAGGGCCAAAGCCAAATTTTGTTCAAAATATAAGGACTAACAATGTGATTTGCCCTTTACCGAATTTCCATGTTGTCTATTTGGCATTCAATAACAGTCAAATAATGCCAAAATAATTAAAATTTAATACATATTTTTATACATATATTTGTATTTTCATAACTATTTAATGGACAGATTACATGTTTGAATATATATTCTTTGTTTGAATCAATTTGCCAAATTTAAATGGGTTACCATCTTTGAAGGGTTACTATATTTGAACATTATTTTCTTTTGATATTTTTGAATGATATGAAAACTTAAAATTTTAATAAGCATTGACTTAGATCTTTATTTTTTGAAAATCCTCTCATTGAGAACTATCCTACAAGATCTATCTGTAAAAAAAAATGATAAAATTTCACTATGTACACTGCTATCACACAATGAACTTTCACAATCTCCATACAATAAATTTCACTTCCCGAGAGAAGTCATGTGCGACTTGAATGCATGAACTATTGTCACTTGTCACTATCTTCAAAAGGGTTATCTATGAATCTATTCCTATGAACACTTGCCACTTTTGAATGCATGAACTATTGTCAAGGTGATATTAATATTAAAATATAAAGAATTCAAGAGCGCTTTTTAAATATTTATATATTTCTAAACAATTTTAACTACTCATCTAAATTTTTAGTGATGTGAGTAAATTGTGGCCGCTCGTTTGGAAATATGTAGCTATCATCTTTTGACTTGACATCTCCAAACGATCTAAATACCTCATCACAATGAGAGGTTGATGGTTTCCAATGCTGAACCAGACCTGAAAGCACATTGACTGTATGGCTCATGTCGGGCCTATGAGAGGGCTTGTTTGCACAACATTGGCTAGCCAACTCAGCAACAGTATTGATACTGGCAAGCACTTCTTCATCGAGGTCAATTGTCGGGTCGATGGCCATGTGGAATGTGTTTTTCTGCATACGGATTGTGTGGAACCATGTGACAATACCAATGAACTCATCTTGCTCAGTCTCAAGTTCAATTACAGCTTTTCTTCCAGTAATCAGCTGCATTAAAATCACTCCAAAACTGAACACGTCAACTTTAATTGTCACTTTTCCTGTCACTGTCCAATCGCACACAAGATTTTAAATTATTCAAAAATATAAATATTTTTAATAAGCAAAAATCATTTGTCAAATTTATTTTCCAATCTAATAAAATCATATTTTTAAACCATGAATATGTTTGAAAGGACAATATTCTGCATGTCGAATGTTCAAGTCGAAGCCAGCCATGTCGATTGTGATTACCTATTGATTAAGTGGGCGTATGTCTATAATTTAGTCTGATAATGACTGCTCTACTTGAAATTATATTTTAAAAGCATGATTTTTATGAATTTTACAATAAATTAATTAAGGTTGTGTGATTAAAACATGACTTTAATGAAGTGTCTTGTGCTCTTAAAACATCTACTAACCTATTGGCCATGTTTGTTTGGGCGGACTGGATTAGCATTCCTATGACTAATAGTCCTAGGACTACGAATTCGTTGGATTATGTATCCTATCTTAACTAATAGTCAAGTTTAAAATAATTAGTCCGTATTTTAATTGTTTAACCAAACATCAGATTAATAATTTTATAGGACTATTAGTCCAATCCCAAGCTCATATCCACCCAAACAAACATGGCCATTAGGGTCTTAGATATTAACCAAAATACAAGAAGTCAAAAAATTTTAAATCCAGTGTCACTAAAGAAGAAAACCTTTATAAGCCAATTCGTGCTTGTTTTGTGGAAATGCTATAATACACTTTTTTTTTTAGAGTGTGTACTTTATGCCCAATTATGACATTTGTTGATTTTTGTTATGACTTCTTATAGTATTTGTTATAACTCATTATGGTATTAGTCATGACATCTTTTGATTTTTATTTTGGTTATGATTGAAGAGAACTTTGGTTATAACTCAAATGGATTTTTTTTTTTTCCCCCCTCACACAAGGGTGTTTTTCTTTCTTTTTTTTATTTTTTATCAGTGTCTAGGTCAACTTATGCACATCTCAATTAATCTCTGAAACTTTGAATTTAACAACCTAGCAAACCTTTAGTGTCCCCAAGGTGTTTGGTTATAACTTTTGCTTAGGATTCAGTGTGATGCTAGTTATGACCTATTGTGATTATTATTTTAGTTCCGACTGAAATTTTTTGGCTATACCTATGACTTACTGTTTTTTTTTTTTTCTATTTTAATTATGACATTTATAATATCAACACCACAAATATCATATCACATATGTACTCAACAATAGTAGCTATTGATGCTTATATAATCGCTGCAAATTGCCTAAAAGTAAAAAATTTAAACACCAACTAAGAAAAATGAAGTTATCTAATTAGATGGAAGATCCTTCTAGATCCTAGCTGTGTGACAAGGATTGATGCTAGTTATGACCTATTGTGATTATTATTTTAGTTCCGACTGAAATTTTTTTGGCTATACCTATGACTTACTGTTTTTTTTTTTTCTATTTTAATTATGACATTTATAATATCAACACCACAAATATCATATCACATATGTACTCAACAATAGTAGCTATTGATGCTTATATAATCGCTGCAAATTGCCTAAAAGTAAAAAATTTAAACACCAACTAAGAAAAATGAAGTTATCTAATTAGATGGAAGATCCTTCTAGATCCTAGCGGTGTGACAAGGATTCATCATTTTGAATTCAACCCTTCTTTACTTTTTCAGTGTCAATCACTCGAAAATTTCTAATGTTGGTCTCAAATATTAACATCAAATGTAATAGTAAAAAGTAGATTATTACCCTCTTCATTACATATTTGTAATAGAGAGGTCCTATTAAATTGTCTAATAGTGAGTATAATAATATTTTTTAATTTAAACTAATTATAAATTTATATGCTTATTTCATAGCCATTATATGCATGAAATGGAGAGAATCAAAATCGGTAAAATATGACCACTTAAGTATAAATGGTAAAATAAATCCAGCCCTAGTATTTCCTAAACAGGTAAGACCTACATTCTTGAATAATTAGTTTTATGGAAAAAAAAATAAATAAAAGCATCAAATTGTGTTGTATTATGTTAGGACTTGGAGTGTGTGCTGTGCGGCCCATTGGGCCCTTGTCCCAAGCATATTTTGATGATCTGAACTATTCATATTATAAGATTTGTTGAACATATCATCTATATAAAAAAAAATCAAGTTAATTAGGCATGTTTAACCCCCTAACCAAGTCCTAATTATTTTAAAATAGAGGATAAATTACTAGCATATCTCCTGAGGTTTACTTAAATTACAAATTACCCCCTGTTAATTTAAACTAATTATAAATTTATATGCTTATTTCATAGCCATTATATGCATGAAATGGCGAGAATCAAAGTCGGTAAAAAATGACCACTTCCGTATAAATGGTAAAATAAATCCAGCCCTACTATTTCCTAAAAAGGTAAGACCTACATTCTTGAATAATTAGTTTTATGGAAAGAAATAAATAAAAGCATCAAATTGTGTTGTATTATGTTAGGACTTGGAGTGTGTGCTGTGCGGCCCATTGGGCCCTTGTCCCAAGCATATTTTGATGATCTGAACTATTTATATTATAAGATTTGTCGAATATATCATCTATATAAAAAAAATCAAGTTAATTAGGCATGTTTAACCCACTAATCAAGTCCTAATTATTTTAAAATAGAGGATAAATTACTAGCATATCTCCTGAGGTTTACTTAAATTACAAATTACCCCTGTGGTTCTAATGCCCCTTCAGGTTTCTAATTCAATAACAAATAGGTTCTTTTATTAATAAATCATCAAGTTAATTAACAATTTTTAATAATGTTAAAATTTTATTTCAATTAATAATTCATATAATTTTATTATTGTATAAGTGAACACTTAAAAATTTTACTTTTTCAATTAATTCTGTTAAATGAAAAATTCTGACAGAGAAGTATTAGTAATTTTCCAAATTACAGAAGGCAATTCGTATTTTAAGCAAACTTCAGGGGTGTATTTGTAATTTAACTTAAAATAAATTATCGAAATTATGTTAACCATTTATTTTTTGAAAAATAAATATGGTCTTCTTTTAAGGTTACAGATAGCCAATTAATCTGAATTTTTTCATAGGTAAATTATGCAAATGATCCCTATAGTTTACTCGTTTTTTCATTTTGGTCCTTCTTGTTTCAATTTGATCAATTTTGCCTCATAATTTTACAGATTGTGTCATATTAGTTTAATAAATAACGACGGTTAAGTTTGATGGACGGAAAATCAAATGATGTTTCAATTTGGTCCCTGTATTTTACAGGATATGTTAATTTGGTCCCTGTAATTTATAGGAAAGTCAAAACAACAGGGACCAAATTGACACATCCTGTAAACTACAGGATCCAAATTGAAACATCATTTTATTTTCCGTCCATCAAACTTAACCGCCGTTATTTATTAGAATAATATGACACAATTTATAAAATTAAGAGGCAAAATTGATCAAATTAAAATAATAAAGACCAAAATGAAAAAAAAAAAAGGTAAACTACAAGAACTACCGCTATAATTTGCCCCTTTTTTTTTTAATAGATAATCTACTCAACAAACTTTATAATATGAACGGTTCAGATAAATGACATAAGCTCGGAACAAGAATCCAACGAGCTGCACAGTATCGTACCTAATTCCATTATGTTATAACTCACACTTCATTAACCATGTTGGAAAATTTTATTCATATATTAAAATCATACAAAAAGTAATTCAAAAAATCTATTTAGAAATCCCTAATTTATTTTTGGCAGTGGTTTATCCACACAAATTTTTTGCCCAAATCCCCCTTAAATGGGTTTCTTACCAATAAAAGTCGGGTTTTCTACCCGTGAAAGTCTCATTCAACGGGGATTCCAGCAAAAAGTTTTTGTTGACAAATCATTAATGGTTTATTTTTGGCCTTTTCAAGACTAGCAAAATTTATGCTAAAACATAGAGAAAAAGTAAAAATAGTTCTAAATATAAATCAATGTGAGTGTAGAAATAACGATGCTATTAAAATAGAATTTTAATAGAAATTCTTATATAGAATAATGTTGCTCATTGTGGTTCCCATCTTTAAAACTACTCCAAATGCATCATTCTAGATGGGTTCAGTATTAAAATTCAGTATGTGTACAATTTTCAATTTATAAAAGAGTACCTGCATATTCTGGGGCGAGATATCCAAAAGTTCCTGCTAATTTAGTTAGAACGGAAGACTTTCCATTTGGTGCAAGACGAACAAATCCAAAATCGCCAACTTTAGCATGCATGTCATCTCCCAAAAGAATGTTGGACGGTTTAAGATCCCTATGAATAAAACTTTGATCGGCTAAACCATGTAGATACTCAACTCCTCTAGCCACATCCACAGCAATGGTTAGCCTTTTCAACCATTCGAGGGGTTTTAACCCTTCTTCCTTCCATCTAAACAAATGCCTACTAAGAGTCCCTTGAGGCATGTATTCATAAACAAGTAGCCTCTCATTTCTATCCAAGCAATATCCTATAAGAGAAACCAAATGCCTATGTCGAACTTTACTAAGTACAACAATCTCAGTCTTGAACTGATCCCAACCACTCTCGCTCACCACTCCGGACTCCATCCGCTTAACTGCAATCATAGTCCCATCATACAGCCTCCCTTTGTAAACAGTTCCAAATCCACCTCTTCCCAATATGTTTTCTTGGCCAAAATTGTTAGTCGCATTTCTTATAACATGAATAGAGATTACCATGTGTTCAGCTTCAATAACATGAAAATCACCAGAATGCTTTTTCTTACGCCAATATAGATAGTATATCATAATCCCAACAAATAAAAATACACAAACACAACCAATTACCAAAACCACATACACTCCGATCGAGTACCTACTGCCACTTTTATAAGTCTCTAAAGGAGGAACACTATCCTTCTTTACATTAGGATTGCCATCAGTGTCTACAATCACATCACTCTTAAATGATGGGATAGTTCCAGAAAGCTGATTGTTTGAGACATTTACTTGTATAAGGTTAGGCAAAGTTGTAAGATCGTTTGGGATACTACCGGCCAGGTTATTATTAGCAAGAATTAATATCTGCAACGATGTAATGGACGAGAAATTTGCAGAAATTGTACCTGTAAGATGCAAATTCGAAAAATTAATAGCAGTGATGTTTCCATTTTGGCAATAGAGCCCAAACCAGGCGTTGCAAGGATCATTCCCTTTCCAATTCTCCGCAAACACCATCGGGTAACCAACAGACTCCGCAATTGAAAGTAATGTATTCACCAGGGGATCACAAGCAACTCCAGGATCAGATAAGCAGAAGCTATTAGACCCATTGTTCATATCAACCGTAACATTAGAGTTAAACTTTGGGGTCGGCCCTTGTAACAGATTGTTTGCCAAACTCACAACCTTAAGTGATGAAAGATTCACAAAAGATGCTGGTACCTGACCTGAAATGTTATTGTCCCTCACACTAAAGGTCTTCAATCTCGTAAGCCTTGAAATGTCCGGCAATGTACCCATAAAGTTATTAGAATGCAAATAGATTTCGGTCAACTGGGTCATGTTCTGAATCACATCAATTGACCCATTGAGCTTATAAATACTCTGCTGCCCATTCAACTTCAAGGATTGAATGGAAGAACCCATAAAACTGTCCGGCAACCCACCTTGAAGGTCATTGAACGCCAAGTGAAGAATCCTCAGCCTCCGGTGGTGCGAACCAAAATTATAGGGAATTATCCAGGTAACATTGCAAGCATTGGCAGAGAAGATCCTGAGGTTCAATGCTGCTTGGATACTGTCAGTTAATAGCCACCTCGAGAAGGGGTTGTTGTCTAGATAGAGACTTTCCAGGGAAGTCATGTTGAAAAAGAAATCGGCGGGAATATAAGAGAAGCTGTTGTTGCTGAGAGACAGGTCCTGGAGCGAGCTCAACCCATCGAGACTCGGAAGCGGACCGCTGAGATTGTTGCAGGAGAGATTGAGTGACTTCAAGGCGGTGAGGAAGCCGAGGTTCTGAGGGAGAAACCCAGTGAGGTTCCGATTCCCGATTTGGATCCTGGTGACCCGCCTGTCGTAGGAGCAATTCACGTATTGCCAATTGCAGGGGTCCGGGTCGGTCCAACCAAGTGAACTCGATGCGTTGTTGAGACTCTGCTTCAGATCCAGCATTACTGTAGCGTCGATCGAACTGGAATCGGAGTGAACCAAGAAGAACAACGAGAACAGAGAGAGATTCAACAGAGACAAAACTCTAGAACCCAGATGGGTTGTTAGCCCCATTTTCTCGAGAAAATTGACACAAAACTATCTAACAGCCAAAAGTCCTCTCGGTCACAATTTTGGAAAGAACTTTCTAGTACGTGGATCAAGTGATTGTTGGAAGTCATTGCACAGTCCATCGAAATCGATGACGAATAATTAGATAACATAACACTCTGTTTTTGTCATCGAACATTTCAACGGCAATTACGAGATTCAAAATAGTTTTTATTTGCGTTAAAAAAAAAAAAATTAGTTATTATTTCATGATTAGATAATGACTGCATGCTGGATTTATTAATTTATTTATTTTTAAGGATAAATTAGAAATGCAATCTTGAGATTTGTTTAAATATGAATTATTTTTTTATAATTTAAAACATTATAAATACATTCTTGTTAGAATTTTTTATTTAAAAAAATTAATTGAAAAAAAAAATCAACTGTTCTTTTATATAATAATAAAATTTTATAAATTGTTAATTGAAATAAATTTATAACATCATTAAAAATTATTAATTGACTTAATGAATTATTAATAAAAAAAAGTAATTTGTTATGAAATCAGAAACTTCAAAAGTAGAATGTAATTTTCAGATCCACCAAGGACAAATTGTACTTTAAACAAATTATATTTGTAATTTACCCTTTTTTTAAGTTGGCCCTTTGACTTGAGTAAGTTTTGGCTAGAGTATTTGGGTTTAATAGATTTATTTTAAAGCCAATCTCGGCAATTCAAGTCATTTACATTTTAATACTTGTTGGGTGTATATTCAAGTAAAAAATTAAGATTATGAGAGATCATTAGCTATATATTTGAATTATATTTGTATTACAAAAATTGAATGGATGACAATTATAATAGTAGGAGTAGTCATTCAATTGTTGTAATACAAATGTGATTCAAATATATAACTACCAATGTCCGATCATTTTATTTTTTTACATGAATATTATGTTCAATGAGTAATAAAAATTGAATTGTTTGGATTATATGAAGTTGGCCTTAAAATTGGCATATTAAGCTCAAATACTCTCTGAAGTTGAGATGGCCAACATGAAATAATTCAAATCCGTGATAATTAATATCTTTTATGTCTTTTTTAATCATTAGTCAGTCATATTAATTACATTTCCATTCATAATTTAATGATCAATTTTTAAAAAGTTATAAATAAAATATAAAAAATAATAAATAACATTGATTTTGAATTTTCAAAAATAATTTTTGAGTTTTTATTTATTTATTTATTTTTTAGTAGTTTTTTTAATATTTTAATCAATTTTTTTTTTTTTAAATCCACATAATTTAGATGTACTTAAAAAATAACATATTTATCAAGAAATCTTTAAAATAATTCAATAAATACAAAAATAAAATAAAATGAAAATGTACTGATTTTTTTTTCTTTCTATTTAGTGATTTTTTTAATAGATTTATTAAAAAAATACTTTTCAAGTGTATTTAAATTAAGTGGATCTAGAAAGTAAAACATAAATAAATAAATAAATAGACTAAAATATTAAAAAAAAGTTCAAAAAACAAACAAAAAAAATATAAATTCAAAACTTAAAAATTAGTTTTGAAAGCTTAAAATCAAAGGAATGATTAATATTTGGACTTCTAAATCTATACATAATAGACCAAAAAATTAATAGGGACTTGAAAATTAGAATCTGACTGAAATTGCATAGAGTCGGGCAATGTCCTTGCAAACCGTAACAATATTTGGCCTTAGAAATCACCTCATTAAAGGAAAGGTAGTGGCCTATCCGCTCGAGTGTGCTATTAGACTTTTGTGGGCTCACCATAGACTTTACATTAATGATTTGAACCGTTCAATATATAAGACTCGTCAAGCATTTCATCTCTGTAAAACATCACGTTGATCGAATATCGATAGTCACTTGATTAAATCAAATTTGTATCAATAGTAAGTATGATTTTAAAAATAAATTGTTAACACAAATATGATTTGATTAAGTGGCTATTGATATTTGATCAATGTAATTTTTTATAGGAATGAAATACTCGACGACCCTACATATTCAACAATTTGGATCATCAAGACGAATCCAAAATGGGCCAAATTGGACCATCTAGTTAGAATGCCTAATTGGAGACAATCCAAACCCAAAAGAAAATATTTTCCTAAATGTTGACTCTCTTAAATGTCACAAATAATATAAGAGAAATGTAGCAAAACTAAGAATTTTTGATAATCAAAGTTGTGGCTCCAAGGAGTTGATAACACCTAATTGAAGTTGAATATGAGATATGGAAGGAGTACACCGCCATAGCTCCAAGTTGCTCCCACTAGGCCAATCCCTTGGAGTTAGGAAAACTAAGACTTTATGAGAGTGCTTTATTCAAAATAGAACTCAATTATGCTAATAAAAAAGAGAGAATAATAGTATAGTGTTGACAGTAAAAAAAATTTACAAAATCATGGAAAAATATAGTATTTTAATTATTAAAGTGTATAAACGTTCTCATTGATTTGTTATTAAAAAAAATTGACAGTCACACTGTATTATTATTTTACCAACGCTGCAAGAAAAACGACATATAGTGACGTTTTTTTTTATGACGTTTTCAAAAACGTCGTGAAATCTGTCCAGATTTTTTAAATTTCAAAAAAATTAAACTAAACCATCTCGTTTTGTGCGCCGCTTATTTCCTTTAAACAGTGGCTCAACTCAAGGCTACGTCTTCTATTCTGATCGAACAGAGGCATGACTTTAGCAAGAGAGATAAATCGAGGCGTTGGATCTTCGAGGCATCGGATCTTCGATCTCTTCGATCTCCATCAATTCTTCGGTTGTTTGATATGAAAAATGTTGTTCTACTTTTGATTTGAGCGTATATCTTCCTGATTGTTCGAACCCCTATGATCTAAATCGATCTAGGGCTCAAGGTTAGGGCTTTCTGATATAGATTTGCTACATTCACACAAGATCTATAAAATTTCATGGCTAAATCTAACGATTTGGAATTGTTTTCTCTCGATTTAGTTGATTTCCAGCTTTTTTTGCTTTTGTTTTGTGTTTTCTCCTTTCGTTTTTGTTGCTTTACTCTTTCTAGTCCTTGTGTGGAAAACTCTTCTCTTTCATCAGATTGAGCAGCAACAATGGTGAATTGATTTATCTAGGGTTTCGAGTACGGTTTTAGTGTCTCTGGTCATGTACGGGACAAGCAGGTGGCGTTGGATGTGGATCGTTGGAAATAGTGAGCAGAAGCTCAACGATGCAGAGAAAAATTGTGTATTGAAGGTGGAAGCAACGGTGGGCTTCTTATTAGGGCTTGCATTAATCAGGTATAGCGGTGTTGATTCATTTTCTTGGTGGCATTTTTTGGGTTTATTCATTTGTCATAATACATCGTGTCTATAAACTAAATTGTAAAATTTTGTGGTTACAGAGACCTAATCTTTTTGGTTGTGCTCTTGCTCATGTTGGTGTTATGGATATGCTTAGATTTCACAAATTCACTATAGGTCAGCCAACAATCTGTGGGTTCACTTGGTTGATTTATTTTAGTATCATTTGTTGATTTTTAGGTTTCTTTTCTAGGTCATAGATGGACATTTGACTTTGGCTGCTCAGAGAAGGAGGAAGAGTTGGCTTATCAAGTGAGTGAATTTATTTTCATTGAATTATCTGCCTGTATAATGTTCTTACTTTGAAATTATAATTTTTTAGATATTTTTTCTATTTGATATAAAATATGTTAGTTAATCTCGAGTAAGTTATTTACTTCTGTTATTGTTTGGCGTTCACCTCTTAATCACAAATTATTCCTCATTTTCAACTTTCAAATTACATTTTAGTAATACTAAAATGCAGTTGACGTGCATACTTTGTTAAATGAAAAATATGTTCTATGTATTATTTAAGTATCTGTTTTTTTTTTTTGCAAGTCTTGAGTACACTCATTTAGTTCTGTGTCTTAGTGTGTGGCTCTTAATGACTGTTATTTATTGGTTCAACTTTCACTGAAGTTAATGGAGAATCATAGACTAATTTCCCGTGCTTGCTTATCCATCATCAGTTAGCAAGTAGTCAGTTCTTGTTTGATTTTTGAGCTGGGTTGCTTTTTCTTTTAGCTTTTCATCACTCGAAAGTTTTCAGCAAACGGGTAGTTGGGTAACTATTTTATCATTTTGAATCTTTGCCATTGTAAAAATTTCTCTTCAGGTGCTCGGCACTGCATAATGTTAGCAGACCATGGGAACAATCCTCTGATCAGTTTTCTCAGTACCCCGCTACCATGTAATTGACAACTGATCATGACGATCGGGTTGTGCCATTACACTCATTAAAGTTATTAGCGGTGAGTTTTTAATTGCTACAATTATGTTTTACTTCCCATGTTATTTGCTTTGATTTGCCCTGCATCTGAAGATTGAATTGTCTAGTTTCTTGCTCAAGTTTTGTCAATGAGGTTCACCTCTTAAATGTTATAATATTTATCCACCTTCTTGTCAGGACATAAGAAGATAATAAATTGAATGGCTTAATCACAATATATGATTATCCTTGTGTGCATATATATATATACTGAATTGAGGAGGTTACAATTTAGGAAGGTAGAATAACAATGAAATCAAATATAAGGAAATATGCCTAAAATCCCGTAATCACACAATATACCAGATTCATACAACATACAGGATTCACATATTCCAACAAGGACCGTCTAGGTTAGATCTGTGTGAGGTTCTATGATTGAATTGATTATATTAAATTATATTGTGTGGAAATAACTGAATAAAGTTCTATATTTATATCTACAAAAATTATATACTTTAGGAATTGTCTATATTGAGTTCCAGTAAAGCATATGTAAAAACTCTATCATAGAACTTACATTCAACAAAAAGAAATCTAGTAGTCTTCTGAAAGTAAGGAATGATGGTCTTTTATTACAAAGGAAATTGGAATAATATAAATTGAAGTTTTATTTTTGATACAAATGATAAAAGTGCACATTAAACATTTTTTTTGTTGTTTTTTTCACACTAATCTTAGGAACTATTTTTTATAATTTAACCCCTAACTATTACTTTTCACTTTTTAAATTCTCATATAATTTAACAGCACAATATTAAATGCTATTAAATGAAATTATGAAATGGATGTTATACATGTGCATTATTCTATTTATATTTGGCCGACTTTTAAGAAATATGAAAAAGAGAAAGATGATTAATAAATCATGTAAATCATTGCATTCGGATCCTAGGTGTATTACTTTGGAGCAAGGACCGTCTAGGTTGGTATTTTTGTAACATTTTATCTCACATTTGTGTATAATGTGTCTGGTACTTTCTGTGCACACATTCTTTTTTCTTTGGAATTTGATGTGCTACCATATATGCTAGTTCACACACTATCTACCGAAAGTATAGTACTTTTTGTGGTATGCGTACATATGCATGTGTAATTTTTTGAAACCATCAAGGCCTTTGGTGGGCAGCTTGGTCCAAGGTGTATGCAATTTTTCTTGAATGTTATTTTGATTTTGCCTACTTGTTGAAAGTGTTTTTTGCATTTTTTTCAGACCATGCAATATGTTTTGTGCACAAGCTTGGAAAAGAGCCCACAGAAAAACCCAATCGTTGGAAAAGAACCTACAGAAAAACTCAAAAAATGGTAAGCATTATATTAATGTCATCTATTTTGCTACATACTAAAAAAAAAAAAATTATCCAGAACTAAAACATGTGAGCAAAGATTCATTTTATGGCTCAACAACACTTTAACTTTAAATTTACACCCTACAATCCACCTTTTGGGTAAAATTATAGTTCAAATTTCTTGGTAACTAAAATTATTCATATTTTGATGGATATTGAGCAAAATAATGAGAAAAAAAAAAAAATACAAGTTACTTTTACCAATTCAAAACATCAATTCATCTATTTGCAAAATATTTTTTACATCTATCCTGTTTCTAAACAGTCTTTCTCCTTTGCTACAGATTGATGAAGCTGCAGACCGATTTAGCTTCATGGCTAAGGTGTTGGGTGCATCTTGGATTGACTGATCAGCTGATGATGTTTATACAATTATTGTATCATATTTTCCTCACGGTGAGAATTTTTTATGTTTAATAAATTTGGTGGAAGATCCATAGAATTGTTCACAGTTAAGAATGACAATTTGTGGTTGTGATTTTGTTTTGTAAATAATTTGAAAATCCTTTGAAAGAAGCTACTATTATTTGATAGTCGTAGCCTTGTAGGTGAGGATGAGTGATGGTGTGTACATTACAATGGCTGCCAATAAGTTCCATTTGATCAAAGCCTTGTTTCCCAACTTCAATAGGCAATTAGCTATTGGGTTAATTGCACTTTACTCCCTCGTGGTTTGGTGATTTGAAAATACACAAGCCCCTTTTGGTTTGGAAATTTGCGCATATCTAACCCTACCTTCATGCCACCATCATTACAGTAAACATTTTCTCTATCCTCCCATTTTCTTCTATATTTCCCTCTCTCCTCTACAGTACCCACTTCATTACTACATATACACCCAGTGACCAAGGCCTTCACTACCTCTTCTACACCCTTCATTATTACAAATACCTCTTTTATTACTACCTATATATATATATATATATATATCTACTAGAAGTTGTGCATGCCCATAAGGATATGCTTGAATTGGGTTTCAGATTTGTGATTGAATCTAACAGTTACAATTGCCCTTGCATTTATATAAGGGCATTTTTGAAAAACAAAAATTGATTTTTTTGTCAACACTAATGCAAACCTTTATTTCATATAATAGAATTATTATACAGAGTCACTAGAACTTCATATATATGTAACAGTCCATCTCCTTCGCATGAGAACTTCACCTAGATAGTGTATATGTGATATATAGGTACTTAGGACCCCCCATTCACCCAGCCCCCTTCTGCATAATTGTGTTAGATGTGCCTTTTCAGCTGAACTTCTTTAATTAGCTCATTGCTGAGGTCTTGAAAGTATATAACTCAATGATTTTTTCCTTGTGCTAATTACAGGACAGCTTGCTCGGGAAGTTTATGAGAACATTAGGAGAGAAGCTTCTTGTCTGGGAATTTAGAGAGATTTTCATATACATCTTGCTAGGAAAGCATATAAAGAATTGTGCTTCTCTGTTGTTTCTATTCAGGCTGGCATGCGTGGAATGGTTGCACGTGATGAGCATCGCTTCAGAAGGTAGATTGCTTTTTATGGAAAGCTTTCATTGTTGTATTCTCTTAGATTACTTGACTGCATGAATTGTGCATTTGGATGTATTTTTTTTTTTTTTGATCGGCAAAGAAAAACTCCATTAAAAACATGAAATTTACAGGTACAAGGTAAAAAAACGCATTGAGAGAGGTTCGAAGAGTAAATACTCACTCTCCTACCACTGCTACTCGCGTTTTTACTTACAAAAAAAAGGAGAAAGGTGGATCTGATAATTATAACTTATTCAATTCATCGCGTTTAAAAAAAAAAAAAACCAAACACTTGAGCCCCCTAAACCAAAGCTACACACTGAAACAACCCACCTGACCCACTTGAGCCCCACGCCTGATTTGGATGTATTAGTAGGAACTCCAATGATTTCTTTTTACACTAGCTTCTGTACAATTGAGTTCTTTAAAATTACCATATTATAAGCATTTATAATAATGTTTTTCTTTTGCAAAGCAGTTTGAAAACTGTCTCAGAATCTCTGAATACTTCTTGATGGGTTTAAAATTAGTACAATTTACAAAAAAAAATAAAAAATGAAAAAGGATATCACGGCGTTTTAAACGCCATTTAAACCCTAAATTTAACGGTCATATGTTTTTAAAAAGATATGATGGCATTTTAAAAATGTCGCTAAATATCACAGTAACATCATGGTACTGTTATTTAGGTCATTTGGCGGCGTTTTTAAAAACACCGTCTATACTAATATCACGACGTTTTTAAAACGCCACAAAGCTATAGCGATGGCCGCGTCCTCGACGTTTGGTGCTAAGCGTCGCAAAAGGAATTTGTGACAGTTTTGACACTTATAGCGGCATTTTTTAAACGCCACTAAAAGTTTGTTTTCCAACAGGGAATATTGATTTACCCACTTACTTATGCTGGTTGGAATGGGTGGCGGCGATTAGGATTGTAAACAAATCAAGTTGTTCACGAGCTTGGCTCGACTTGTTAAAAGCTCGATTTGGCTCAGCTCATTAAGTAACTAACAGAAGTCCCGAGTAGGATTTTTAGGCTTATTTAGTAAGCAAGCCGAGTTTGAATTCGAATAACTCAATTCATTTATTTTTATTTAAATTATACAATAAATATATTATATATATATTAAATAATATAAAAATATGTATAAATAATAACATAAATATATGATTATATAAATATATTATTTATATATTTAAATAATGTAAATAATATAAAAAAATTCATTATCGATTTGATCTGAGCTTGAGTTTGATTAATTTAATAAGCCAAGCCAAACTTGAGCTTGATTAGTTATTGGGCCAAACTCGAGCTGAATAATTGAGTTTGATAAACAAACGATTTCAGCTTGAGTCCTGCAAAACTCAACTTAACTTGATTAGTTTGTAACCCTAGTGGCAAGTCCTTAGAGCTCGTTTGGGATGTGACTATTTTAATTGATTTTTTGATTTTTTACGAAAAAATGTATAAAAAGTAGAGAGTGTGATGTGATTAAGTGTTTTGACTTTTTAACTATTTTAGCTAAAAAATCAACATCCCAAACATCTTTTTAATAAGTGCTTGAAAAAATTTAAGGGAACCCTTGAACACAACGCTGCTCCTTTAGATGAATTACTGAAGTTTGAGCCACTATAATGTTAGAAACACAGAATAGACATAGAATAAGACACAAATATCTTACAACGAGTGAAGTCCACAAATGTTAGAAATACAGAAACCAAACACAAAAGGAGACACATATGTCTCATAAAGAATGAGTCCCATGTCATGTAGATCCCACTCCTTTTAAGATATTTGTGTCTTATTGTATATTAAATACTCTATACACTTAGACTTATTGCTATATTAACTTTTAATAGACAAATTACAACATATATTATATTTATAATTTATAATTATCCATTATAATAATAAAAGGAATTTTTTAAGATGCCATCATCTACTACCATCATTAGTGAAGGATGTCAATAAAGTAAACGAGTTCATCGAATTGATTTGTTTAACCTATACTTAATTTGACCTAATCTACTTAACATTTATTAAATAAGCGAATTTGAGTGGAATTTTTTTAATGCATCATTTATTTTGATTCACTCAAATCCACTCACTTGTCAACTCTAGAATCTGCTTATATTGTTTACATACCGCATGATATATCATTTAAATGGTCGTTGGGCAGGGAGATGTGGTGGTTTTTATGGGTTAGCAGATTCAATCATAAAGCTCCACATGACAATGCATCACTTTTACCAACTTGAACTTTAATAACTTGAACAAGATTTCAAATCATAATCGCATGTTTTTTAATCAAATTATATCAACACAGTTTTTGTTCTTCCCAATTTCTTTTTATTTATCTTCTTCTTCTTTTTTTTTTTTTTTTGTTTCTTATATTGTTATTTAAGAATATGAACACAATTATAGGTTCCAAGGTTACCCAACACCTTAATTCTCTTTTGAGTTGTTAAGGAAATTCATTTTATTCCTGGAGAACTACTGAATAAGCAAAATGGACTTAAAAATCTTTCTCGTATTTTTGACTTTTCAAGTAAATCACAAAATACGAAAGTCATGTCTATCTCCCGCCCAGACAAAAATGATTACGAGCAATTATTGTTGCCAACACCATATTGATTTTAGTGAGTCGGTGACAGTTTTTGTTTTATATTTGAAAAAACAAGAAGAGTTTCTTATTTTATTCTATTCATCAACAAGGTATATATATACAACCGTGTGGTAATAGACTACATATGGTAACCTTATTCACATTCAATTACACCCTAATTACAAGAAACTAAATAAGGTAGGAACAATTACAGGTCCTAATTACATAATTATCGCCACACTCCTCAAGTTATCACATATGCCCAACTTGTCAACAAAACTTTGAAAACAACTTATTTGATACTGCTTTGGTAAGGACATCCGCCAGTTGATCCTCTAATTGAATCTTGGGCAATTCTATAATCTTTGCTTCCAACTTTTCCTTTATAAAAAATCTGTCCACCTCCACATGCTTTGTTCTATCATGTTGAATTGGATTGCGGGCGATATCGCATGCGGCCTTGTTGTCACAATATAGTTGAATCGGTCGTCTCAACGGATATCCTAAATCCTGTAAGAGATGTTTCAGCCATAATACCTCACAAATCCCAAGTGCCATACCACGATACTCGGTTTCCGTACTTGAGCGCGCAACAACAATTTGCTTCTTGCTTCTCCAAGTAACAAGGTTACCACCCACAAAGGTGAAATAACCTAAGGTGGTTCACCTATCATCTATTGACCCAGCCCAATCAGCATCAGTATATGCTTCAACCTTTTGACGATCAATACTCTTGGAAAACAAGATTCCTTTTCTAGGAGTAGACTTCAAATACTTCAAAATTCGCATTACTCCACTCATGCGTTGTTCTCCAAGATTATGCATGAATTGGCCAATAATGCTTAGGGCATAGGTAAGGTCTGGTCTTGTGTGTGCCAGGTACATCAATCTTCTTGCAAGTCACTGGTATCTTCCTTTATCATCAATACATAACTTCAACCCTTTCTCTACTGGAGTATCTGTTGGTCGACATGCTGACATCCCAGTTTCCCGCAACAAGTCTAGGATATACTTTCTCTGAGACAAGAAAATTCCTTTAGCAAATCGAGATACTTCTATCCTAAGAAAATATTTCAATGAACCTAGATCTTTCATTTCAAATTCTTGAACAAGTAACTCTGTAGTGCCTTTCTTTCTTCAGGATCATTTCCTGTAACCACTATAGCATTCACATATACAATAAGTGCGATAATCTTACCTTGCTGTTGTTTTAAAAAACAAAGTATGATCTGCATTGCTTTGTTTGTATCCAAAGTACCTCTTGGACTTTGTAAATCTTCCAAACCAGGCTCTCAGAGATTGTTTTAATCCATACAACGACTTCTTCAATTTACACACCTTTCTTTGATGTTTTCCCAATCCTGTAGAAGGCGTCCAGGTGGGAAATCCATATAGATTTCTTCTATCAAGTCACTATGCAGGAAACCATTTTTCACATCAAACTGATATAATGGCCAATCCAGATTCACAACTTGAGACAATAGAACTCGAACAGTATTGATTTTAGCCACAGGTGCAAAAGTCTTTGTGTAGTCAATCCCGTATATTTGACTATACCCCTTCGCCACCAGTCGAGCCTTGAATCGTTTGATGGTACCATCTGATTTGTACTTCAAGGTATAGACCCAGACACCCAACTGGCTTCTTCCCTGATGGAAGATCAACAAGTTCCCAAGTTTTGTTCTTCTGTAAGGACTTCATTTCTTCATTCATCGTTGCTTTCCACCTTGGGTTGGTTAAAGCTTCCTGTACACTATTAGGAATAGATACAGTAGATAATTGATTCATAAATGGCTTATTTGATTAAGACAAGCGATGGTTTGACACATAAGGGCTCATGGGATACTTAGTCTTGCTAGTAAGATTAGGTTCATACACATGTTTAGGAATACCTCTATTACTACGAGGAGGATTATGCCTTCTGGGAGAGTTCAGTATTGACTTAGGAGCATCCTCAACGAGCGATTGGTTAGGTGTGTTAGGTTGTAGTGAGAAGGATTTAGACAGTGGTTCTATTTCAATATCATGCGAATTTTCATCATAACATGTATCCAACCCATTCTCAGGGCTATGTGAGTGTTCCTTTGCACTTAAAGCCAAGTTGTTTATATTCTGGTCCATAGGTTCATTCTGGTCCATAGGTGCAGATTTTTTTACCATAATCATAGTGCAAAACTTCATAATCATAAGCCTGAGTTTGAATTTCCTCTTGGTGGAACTCACTCTGAAGTGCTGACTCAGACGAGAAATACATCTGATCTTCATGAAAAACAACATCCAGTGTAATATGCACGGCCTTTGTCGGAGGATGATAACAACGGTATCCTTTTTGATGTGATGCATATCCTAAGAAGACACAACATAATGCTCGAGGCTCCAATTTATTCCGTTGATGTTTATGAAGATATACAAATGCCACACACCCGAAAACATGTGGTTGTAGATTAGGAACGGTGGCAGCATTGGTAGCATCTTGGAGAGCTTGAAATGGTGTTTGAAACTTAACAATGTTGGAGCAGACACAATTAATAAGATATGCAGCTAAGGTAAGAGCATCACCCCAATATGATACAGGCATATGAGCGTCAATGAGAGAAGCACAGACAACTTCCAGTAAGTGTCTATTCTTCTTTTCTGCCACCCCATTTTATTGTGGTGTAGTAGGACACGTGGTTTGATGAACAATGCCCTGTGCAATCAAATAATGTTGAAGTTCAGACTTCATATATTCTCCACCGTTATCACTACGAAGAACCTGAACCTGCGCTTTGTATTGAGTCTGAAGCATTGTATAAAAGTTGAGAAACAAAGAATTCACTTCACTTTTGAACTTCATTATGCATACCCAGGTCATCCTGGTACAATCATCAATGAATGTCATAAACCAACGTGATCCACCCAAGGTAGTAACCGGAGATGGACCCCAGACATCAGAATGAATAAGCATAAAAGGAACTAAACTTTTATTTAGAGTTGATTTAAAAGAGACACGGTGACTTTTCACAAGTTCACAAACATCACAATGAAATCCAAAAACATTAACTTTTGAAAAGAAATTGGTAAATAATTTCTGTAGATGATCAAGTTAAGCATGTCCTAGACGGCAATGCCATGGCCAAATTTCAAAATTTTCCATCTTTTCATTAGAGCTATCCACTGCCAAGGCCTTGTGTAACTTGTCGGAACTCTTTAGCACCAAATCCAGGTAATACAGCCTTCCTCGCCTAACACCACAACCAATCACTTTGTCTCATTCGGATGTCCTTAAACACACAAAAATCAAGCCAAAAAATTACAATGCAATGTAAAGCCAAGGTTATATGAGCAACCAACAATAAATTATAATCTAAGGATGGAACAATTAGAAAAAGAGTCCAAGTTTAAGTCATCTGTAAGAGACACAACACCCTCTCTAATAACCGGAGCTGAGGTACCATTAGCAGTTGACACATATTTTTGGGGAGATGGTTTTAAGAATGGGACTTATCTAGAATCAAATGTCATATATGGTCGGTGGCCCCTGAATCAATTATCCATGTATTATTTAAAACAAGTGCAAAAATATTTAATGCTTTACCACTACTGTTACTTGCCATTGCTACCAATGCAGAGGCTTGTTCGACAACTTCACCATCTCCATCTGTCGTACCATCAGCAAGAACAACAATAGAGTTCCTACCAGAACTCCTCTTCCTTGAATCATGGTTGTTATCCCACCATTCTGGATACCTGACGAGTTCGTAGCAATAATTTTTGGTGTGACCTGTTTGGTCACAATGAGTACATTTGTAGGATGACTTGCTGGTATTTCAGGATCGATCATGTGAATGAGATTAATCCTGAGATTGCTCATGTTGGTGTTCCTGTCGAGTCTATTGGGAACGGAATCGATCCCGTGGTTTTGAACTTGGGCGATTACGAGCTAGCATAACAGATTTCTCCGATTTTTTTGATTCTCCATTCAAGGTTGCACGACGTATGGCCTCACATTGCACCAATGCATAACATTCTTCCAAATTTGGAACAGGTTCCTTGTGAAGAACCTCTCCATGAACCCGTTCAAATTCAGCATCCAATCCAGCGAGGATATGTGTACCCTTTGCCATTGAATATATTTTTTATACATTGCAATATCCTCATGTGTGCTCCATGACCACTTTATCACGATGGTCCAATTCACGAAAAATTTCGCACAACTCTCCATAATATATGGAGAGAGATTTTCCACGTTGTTTGGGTGTAAAGGCCTTTTGATTCAAGGAAAATACTTGCAGTTCATCGCTGCCATCATAGAAGGCCTTTAATAGGGCACTCCAAATTTCACGAGCAGTAGGTATGCGTAAATAACACTTCATGATTTCTGGGGTCATGGATATCAATAACCATCTCTTCACATTTTGATTTTACACATACCATTTTTCATGCCCAGCTTCAGATTCTGCTGGTGGCTTGGTTTTGCCATGAATATAGGAGAGTTTCTCCTTTTCGGCAATATGCATCTCCATCAATTGGGACCAAATATCATAGTTCGATTTGGTAAGAAGGATTCCAACGTTAAAAAGCCTTTCAGACTGAACAAAAACAGGGACTGTTTTTGATACAGAGAATTCAACTTCCTTCTCGCTCATGATGAATACAAAGAACAACAGCTATGGTGGAGAAATTTGTGTGGCTCTGATACCATGAAAAAACAAGAAGAGTTTCTTATTTTATTTCATTCATTAACACGGTATACATATATAAAACCGTATGGTAATAGACTACATATGGTAACCTTATTCACAGTCAATTACACCCTAATTACAGGAAACTAAATAAGGTAGGCATAACTACAGGTCTTAATTACGTAATTATTGCGACAATGTTTTCTACTCTTTTCATTGAGCATTTAAAACCATTCCACCCAACTACATCATAGCAAGGAGATTAAAACCGTGTCCAACGAAGGAAATAGGATTTTGATTCTAAGGAACCAAATTATGGGTCTTCTTTCTCATAGATTATTTTCGATACATATTCTTTTACAGAAAAACAATTTGCCCCCAAATCTTCACAAGTCTAACCAAAAGAGATTTGAAAGAGTTTGTGACATTTAAATTCTATCAAGTCGACTATTATTATTATTTTAATACTTTCTGGTCTTATATCTTTTTCTTGAGTTAGAAATTTATGGTATTCATGTGATCCTATATTATGGGTTATCCCACTTGTTAGATTGGAATACGTTAAAGACCAAATGTAATTTTATTGGGTTAGAACCCCCAAAGAAAAAATACTTTTAAAATTTGAAACACAACCCAAACAAAACAAAACAAAATAATAATAATAATAAGGGGTTTTTTTTTTAAGGTCCTTGATATTATGATTTTATAGTATAAAGGACATCAAATATTTTTATGAAGTCTAAGGTCCATCAACAATATTTTCATAATGTCTAAGGTCCCTCAACCTTGATCCAGAGAAATTTCAGTCCAGAGAAAATTGGTCCTAGAGAAAATTGAGAAATAGATAATTCCTTTCATGATGATTTTAATACCTTTCAGAGAAAATTTCCCTTTAACATGATCATCTAAATACTATAGATGATTTTAATTGAGAAATAGATTGATTGATAGTTTCACATCACAATATGACAATTCCTTTCATTGGGGAAAAATTTTGATAAACTGACAAAACATTTTAACCAGATAATTCCACCCTTGTGCCAAAAAAAACAACCAAAAATTGTGAAAGAAGGAAAAGAATTGAAGAGGAAAGAGAACTCACTCTTGCTCTACCCTCAGAACCAGAGCCAGAAATTTCAACTTCAACGGAGGAGCCTCAAAAAAAACCAAGAAACACACACACAACTTCCATGGCAGCAAGCAGCAATAGTTATGGACCTTGGTCTCTGTTGACGGAGAGCTCGAGCGGCCAAAGCAGAGTCCAGACCGTTGCCTCATTGTCGGAGATCGCGAACCAGAGGCGGACGTCGACGCTGAAGCGGGCGGAGTGTCCACTCCTCCGAAGAAGGCGAACTCTTGGTCGATGTTGAGGATCGTTGCCGGTTTCACACTGTGGAGCACGATCGTCTCATTGTCTTCAAGCTTAATTCTATCACCTGTGTCTAATTTGTTGGGTATGGGGGTGAGGGACCTTAGACTACAAAAGAATATATTGTGGACCTAATCCATTACTAAAAAGTGGATAGGGACCTTAGACCGATTTTCCCTAATAATAATTGATAAATATTATACCAAGATGTAGGATATTGATCAAACAGGTAATAGACTTTCAATGAATAGACAAATATTATGCCAAGACGCTCTCCAATTGTGAAGCTCGCCTGGCGATAAATCACAAAGCTCCTTCACTTCCTTGGACTGAGATTATAAGAAACAATTTTTCCAGGAATAACTAACGCCAGCGTAAAATCTTTTCCATTTGCATTTTTCACGACACAGAGAACATAAAATTTATAGTCTTTGATTATGGTTGTGTAAGCTGTCTCAGGGAAGAAAGATAAAAGGGGCCCCTGATTGACTCGGTACATCACAATCCAATGGCTGTACTCACTATCCATATGAAAGATTCTAAATCCCAAAGCAGAATGCTAATGAGTCTGAATAAGAACCAAATGTCCATCACATTCTCCAAAGTACCGAATCTTATCTTGAGAAAAGATTTTAGGGTTTTCAGGCATTGAGTTTCTATCAATTTCTCTTCCTCAACCTCAAACGAAACAGTATTATTCTCACGACTTAACCAATGTATTGCACCATTACCAAACACCCTAAATCCGATACACTTAGCAACCCGCGGTGTATTGACACGAATGTGTTTCCAAGATGAACTCTCTGAATGGTAGATTTCAATTTGAATCCATGGTCATTATCAACATAATTGTAATAAAAGGATAAAAATTTGTAGTGAGGAGATTTGAAAGAATCAAAAGCCAAGAAACCACAAACATTTTGACGATAACTTCGAGTAGGAGTTATTACATAATCTTCACTGTATTCAAAGAATAGTTTAAGATAGAAGAAATTTCGTTCAAGTACTAAACTGAAACAGAATGTATAAATAATAAAAAAAAATTGGAAAAACAGATTCTGCTTTAATTACAGAAACCAAACAAAATC